TCAATGGAGCAGAATCGAGAGCCCAGAAATGGACCCTCAACTCTATGGTCAACTCATCTTTGACAAAGCCGGAAAGAATGTCCAATGGAAAAAAGACAGTCTCTTCAACAAATGGTGTTGGGAAAATTGGACAGCCACATGCAGAAGAATGAAACCGGACCATTTCCTTACACCACACACAAAAATAGATGGTTGAATGGTTGAAAGACCTACACGTGAGACAGGAGTCCATCAAAATCCTAAAGGAGAACACAGGCACCAACCTCTTCGACCTCAGCCACAGCAACTTCTTCCTAGAAACATCGCCAAAGGCACGGGAAGCCAGGGCAAAAATGAACTATGGGGATTTCATCAAGATAAAAAGCTTTTGCACAGCAAAAGAAACAGTCCACAAAACCAAAGGACAACCGACAGAATGGGAGAAGATACTTGCAAATGACATATCAGATAAAGGGCTAGTATCCAAAATCTATAAAGAACTTATCAAACTCAACACCCAAAGAACAAATGATCCAATCAAGAAATGGGCAGAAGACATGAACAGACATTTTTCCAAAGAAGACATCCAAATGGCCAACAGACACATGAAAAGTGCTCAACATCGCTCGGCATCAGGGAAATCCAAATCAAACCCTCAGTGAGATACCACCTCACACCCGTCAGAATGGCTAAAATTAACAAGTCAGGAAACCACAGATATTGGCGGGGATGTGGAGAAAGGGGAACCCTCCTACACTCTTGGTGGGAATGCAAGCTGGTGCAGCCACTCTGGAAAACAGTATGGAGGTTCCTCAAACAGTTGAAAATAGAGCTACCATACGATCCAGCAATTGCACTTCTGGGTATTTACCACAAAGATACAAATGTAGGGATCCGAAGGGGTACGTGCACCCCAATGTTTATAGCAGCAATGTCCACAATAGCCAAACTGTGGAAAGAGCCAAGATGTCCATCGACAGATGAATGGATAAAGAAGAGGTGGTATATATACACAATGGAATATTATGCAGCCATCAAAAGGAATGAGATCTTGCCATTTGCAACGACGTGGATGGAACTGGAGGGTGTTATGCTGGGTGAAATAAGTCAATCAGAGAAAGACATGTATCATATGACCTCACTGATATGAGGAATTCTTAATCTCAGGAAACAAACTGAGGGTTGCTGGAGTGGTGGGGGGTGGGGGGATGGGGTGGCTGGGTGATAGACATTGGGTAGGGTATGTGCTATGGTGAGCACTGTGAATTGTACAAGACTGATGAATCATGGATCTGTACTTCTGAAACAAATAATGCAACATATGTTAAGAAAAAAAAAGAAGAAGATAGTAGGAGGGGAAGAATGAAGGGGAGTAAGTCGGAGGGGGAGACGAACCATTAGAGACGATGGACTCTGAAAAACAAACTGAGGGTTTTAGAGGGGAGGGAGGTGGGGGGATGTGTTAGCCTGGTGATGGGTATTAAAGAGGGCACATTCTTCGTGGAGCACTGGGTGTTATACACAAACAATGAATCATGGAACACTACATCAAAAACTAATGATGTAATGTATGGTGATTAACATAACAATAAAAAATTATTTAAAAAATTATCATAAGAATACTTCATTTGTCAGTGAAAACGAAAATAATAGCCATTAGGACTGAAACAATGCTCATGCCCTTGAAGGACAATTTAGAGATCAGATTTCCTAAATTCTGTTCAGTGGTAAGAAAAGACCGCTCATCAATCAAAAGAAAAGCAATTACCATTGCCTTGTCATTTGCCACCATCCACATGTGCAAGCAAAGTCTCTTGTTGACTGTGACCATCAAAAGAGATCATTTAAACCCTTCACCAGGAGTTACGTGTCGTTGTTTTAAAAGCTATAGTTTTAGAAGCAAGTACAACATTCTCAATCAAAAAATCTAAAAATATTTTATTTGGAAGATTTATACAATGCAATATTGATAACTTTTCTATTATCTTGTTTTATTATGATGATGATTATTATTAGTAATAGTATATAAAGAAAGCAAAAAAATGTTTTGTTTTGTTTTTCCACTAAGTCCACATCCCCTCCAGTTTACCCCATGGGCTGGATAAGCATCACCACATTTTGTGTGTGCCACAAACTGTGTGTGCCACGAGCTGAAAAAGTGTGTAAAGTCTTGGAAGTACAAAACAGTCATTAAGTGTGTAAGCTATAAAGTCCGATTGCTAGGATTTAAATCTTGACTCTAGGATTTATTTACTAGCCATGTGATAGGGAGTTAATTTAACTTTTTTGTTCTTTTCATTTCCTCCTCATCAAAACGCTGATAATATGGTAACTGCCTTACAAGCTAGTAGTGAGAAAGAAGGTCAGGCATCAATATGGAGTTCCTGGCATAGACCCTGGTACATGACATGTGTTGATTAAATAGAGCTGTTTTTGTCATTGGCTTAGTAGGGAGGAGAGGAACCAGAAGATGTGCTCTTAATCCCAATCTTTGCCTTGCTTCCCTTCTTGTCTGCTATCCTGAGCTTAATGGAGGGGACAGAAACAGAGGATGAAACAAATTGGGGACAGAAAAGGATAAGTGGAAATAGAAGGAAGTTAAGGAGAAAGAAGAATGGGGCAGGTGGGGCACCCTGAGTAGTCAGCATCTATAAGAAATATAAAAATTGAACCCAAAGGAGGGCTGGGCAAACTTCTCTGGCTAGCCACCTTCCCCCAGCACACTGCTAAGGAAGGTGAGTAGAGGCTTTTATATAGCACAGGAGAAGACACCTAAGTTTGGTCACAGGAGAGAAAAAAAAATAGGTGGCTTGCTGGTGAGAAGACCAAGGGTGGCAGTTGGCACATAGGTAAAGAAACAGCTTTGCAAATAATTTTCAAAATATTTTCAAAATATTCTGTGGAGTTTCCAGAAACATAAGCAGCCCTCCTTTGCACATCCCCCATGTACTCACGCTACCAGATCCTCTTTTGTGGTTATGCCACAGCTGAGGGTCCAGAAAAAGGCTTACCTCATTGGGCCATGCTGCCAAAGTTATTTAAAAAGACATCTTCAAGGAGTTAGCCTGCTTAGTCCCTCCTCATCCTGACTCCCACTCTCCACCCTCTCACCCCAATATGGATTGTGGTGATGCTTTCTCATGCCCACCCAAAACCTGGCCACAAAGCGTTCAAAGGGATTACACCCAAGGGTGAGGCTGTGCTATTGTGGGCAGCCTTGGTTGTTGGCTGTGGGGTTGGCCAGCAATTTTCCACATTGTGTGGCAACTGCTGAGCCCTGCCCATCCACATTTTCTTCTAATCCTGTCCAACTGACTGAAAAGCTCTCCAATTGGTGACCACAGGAGCTGCCAACATCAGGGAGAGAGCCTACTCTTTACCTTTTCTAGGGGAGAGTCCCACTGGTAGGTGGGCAAATGGAAAAGGGGAAGGAAGACTTTTCTCTCTTCTGTAAAACACAACCCCCACAAGACCAGAGAACATGGCCCAACCTTTATGCTCTTCCAGTATCTGTGCCTGCTTTGCATACTTTTGGCAGATGTGTCCCATTACACAAGGTGCAAGGACAATTCTTCCTCTATTCCACCCAGCACCGGATATGCTGATGGTCCCTCGTCTTTATGGGCAACATTCTAACATATCTGGTTGGGAATCTAGCCTTTAGACTCACAAGTGGGGCTGACAGACAACTTACACTCTGAGTCCTCACTCTTGAAAAAGCCAATGAGTTTGATCTGGTCCTCAATGCGTTCGAAGGCTTGGACTTCCAGTTTGCTATTGATGATCTCCACGGGATCTTCAATTAGCTGGAATGCCACACACACGCACATGAAATATGTTCCAATAAGAGAACTGTTCCCTCCACTGCGGGGACATCAGGCACACATGTAGGACACTTTGGCAGGAAGCTGTGGACCCCATCCTCCCCCAGAGTGCACAGCAGCAGTGCCTTCTGAGGAGCTGGCTTAACTCAAGGGGTAGGCCGAGACTAGGCAATTCTATTTCTCTTGTCCATTACTGGTTTAGAAATGGCATGTGACCCAATTCTGGCCAATGACTCTTCAGGGTAGATTTGCTGAAAGCTTTGGGGAAATTCTCCTTTCCTTTTAAGAGAACAATGGAAGCCAGATCCTCTCCCCCACCCCTCACCCCCGATTGCATATGAATGAGGAGATGTGACATATCAGCTCCAATCACTGGTTATCTTAAAACCAATGTGAAGAGTCAGCTTGAGGAAAAAGCCAACACACTGAAAAGAGCACCATCTGTGATTTATCAGTCAGTCTAAAATCTGCCCTCCCTCTGCTCTTCCATTTGTGCTTTTTGTGTCAGGTAGTTGAGCATGGTTTCTGTTATGGGCATCTAAAAGCCTTCACTTAGCTGATAGAGATGGGCCCAGAATTTTCTGTTGCCTCCCTCACTTTTTTTAGGGCTTGCAGGGATGGGTTCATGAGAGAACCGAGCAGAGTCTACGGGTGCTTTTTTGCAGGAGGTGGCCTTCAACTCACTTCTGACTCACTCTTTCTGGGTTTTTGAGGCTGTGAGGAAAAGGCACCAGGCCCCTCTGTGCTAGCTGGTACTCCCTCTGGTCACTAATAAAATAGTTTCTAAGGTAACTTAAGGACCAGCTTCCCAGTAGAAGAAAATAGCACTGTGGAGTAGGCACTCCTTGGTTTTTTTGTGAAGCCCGAGAAATCTGTCTTAGACCAGGACAGATTATCCAGCTTCTCTGTTCTTACTTTGGGATTTCACTTCCCCCTATATCTGAACCCAAACAGCTCCACGCAGGGCCACTGTGCATAAATGCTTACATCCAGGAGAAATTCCACCAGGACATCAGCTGCAAACTCGCCATCAAACTCAATTGTGCGATCACCCTTAAGAATATACAGACTTCCTTCTTCGTCAAAACCTGGAAGAAACAAAAAGTCCCCAAGAAAAGATCATCCTGATGCAAGAAGAGCCATCCTATGGGCTGAGGTCTGGATCAGGATCCCTGGATGACAGTGGGGTCAGGATCAGTGGGGCTAGCATTCAACCTAGGATCTTGAAACCACTCCTGTAAAGGGCTCCCAAAGTACACATTTAAATTGAAATCCTCAAGAACCAACAACTCCACCTGGACTTCAATCTGAAAGAAAAATCTATTCTCTACCCTACCATTGCTTTAATTTTCCAAAAATACTGCCAGCCCTATTCTCCCTGCCAAAAGTTTCAATGCCCCCCTGCCCACTTGACTCCTTAGCCAGGCATTCCAGTCCTTCCACAACCTAACGCCAGTCCCACCCTTCACATTCTCCCCTGGGTAGACTTGCTATCTTAATTCCCTGTGCAACTTCCTTGCTTCTTGCCCCAGGGCTGATGTGAAAGGGTGTGTAAAGGAAAAGTCACAGATGTTCTCCTAGTTCCCCAAATTTGTAGTCACTTCTACCCCCATTCCCCCATCCTGGTCAGTTCCTTTGAGTCTCAGCTTAGGACTCATTTTTCCCAAGAAGGCCACCCTCTTGCCACTACTGCTCTTCTCTTGGCTCCATTTACAGTACTCACTGGAACAGTAAGCTCTCCAAAGGCAGAACCACTGTCCCCTTGGCACCCCAGGATCTTGCACAGAGCCTGAACACGTTAGGCACCCCATAAATGTCCATGGCGAGGATGAACGGCTTACTTTTCTATCGCAGCTGAATTCTGCACATCTTCTTTTCCCAGTTAGCTGATAATGCCACAAGGGAAGGTTCTGCATTTTTCTACCCTCCATTGCTCCTGGCGTAATACTGTGTGCTTTAACAAATGTTTGCTGGAAAACTGTGTTTCCCCCCAGGAATGCTAAATAACTGAGGCTGGCATTTAGTCCAACTGCATGGCATCCTTAATTCCTTAGACTAATTGTTTCCAAGCTCTCTATTAGCTAGAGAATGCTTTCTCCAAATGAACTCTCCTGCAAAACCTCTAGGGAAAAGGAGGCTGGCCCACTGCCTGCTGTGAAGGGTACATGTGAAGAGCCCGGGCACACCCTGGAGCACCATTTGTAAACCCAAAGGACTGATGTACCAGGTATCCTTGAGGCCAGCAGTGACCGATCATGAAGGGTACCTTGGGAACATCAGCCGATGTCCCAATGTTGGATTTTGCTCTAAATGAGATCAGTTAGGAGGCTTTTGTAGTAGTTCAGGCATAGCCTGATGGAGATGAAACTCAGGCAAATGGAAGAGAGGATGAAGATGAAGGCATAAGCCCACAAAATACAACTGTCCTGTAAACTCCGAGAACCAAATAGTTCAAAAGAACCTGCCCCAATTCCTCCAGGCTGAGCTTTTGGGAAAATGTTCATGTAGATTTTTCAAGCTCCATCCACTAGGAGAATATCCACTGGTCCATTCTTATGATAGCTTGCCCAGCTTGTCCCCCCACTAAATTTTTAGATCACTGGAATACTAGTGTTTTCTTCTAACTAAATTTACTGGAAATTCTCCCAAATTCAGCTTCCCATGAAAACAATAGGAAAGAAAACTAGGGAACCAATAGGTTCTGGAGGAAGAGAAACAAGGCACTGAATTGCTTTTGACTAGGGAAAGAATTTAACATACTTTGTTCTCCTGCTCAAAGGGAAAACATATTCCCTAATTTGTCTCCAGGGAAAAGATACCACAGACATTCTTAATAATTCATTATCATTTTACAGTCATGACTTCTTTGTGTCTAACCTAGATACAGTCTCAAAAAATTTAAATCTTAAAAAAATAAAGGTAGTCTTCTTGAATATAAAATAGAGGACAATTGTTTGTAATGCCCTAAGATAATGAACTTGCATGTACCTGACGCCACTACTAATCTTTTTTTTCCCCCTGTGTTTACTACTCCAAATCCAATTAACCTTTCTTCAAAGGTCCTGTTTTATAACCTCCTGCTATTTTTAAATAGCCATTCATCACTGGTCATGCAGAAAAGGCAAAACGGCCAGTACCTGTGTGTGGGTGTTTGGAAAGCAGAGGAGCTCCCCATATTCTCTCTCCCTGGGATTTGGGGGGTGAGAGTCTTAAAGTGCACTTGCACTTAAGCATGACATAATGGACACAAGAGATCACAACATGCACTGTGCGGTCACTTCACCATGCCTCATCTAAATCCTACCCCTCGCCCTCAATGATAATGCCCAGCTGGGGTTTAGCTTTACATTTAGAAACCACTGGGACCTCAGAGTCACTACTATTCATGCTATCTTGTGTTGTCTGCTTCAGCCAAGAGGTAAGGAAATAATAGGTGATGGGAGAAGAGATTTTTCTCTCCCCCAGAGAGATCACCATGGCAGTGAGATAAAGAGGCTAGGCTTTTAAACCGCTCTAGGAGCCAAAAAGAAAGGTTTGACTCTGGCGTCAGTTTCTACAATGACACAAAGCTACATTAGATCTTTCATGTGAAATCATTCAATTCAGGCCAATACTGCTTTCATGAAACTCTTCCCCATCCCAAAACTAAGGTGTGCAGAATCATTTTGTATTTATTTAAAAATAGTCCAGTTATCGTGCATGAAGAAATGAAACTGGACTTTGTTTTTTTTTGAAAGACACATTTGTTTTTCCAGGTATACCTCAAAAATTCCTACTTACCCAGTTTCTTGGCAAGCTTGGCTTCTTTCTTGGCATCCACCATCACAAAGCCTATAGCTTTATGTTCCAGGACCTGGGCCACAAGCTGAAGGGAAAGACAAACCAGAGGGTGAGCAGACCAAAGGCAGAAAGATGGTAGGAAAATCATGGGATAATATTATGGTGTGACAACAAAAGGATTTTCCTCCATGTGTCCTCCTAATCTGACCAATTCAAGCAGCAACGAAGGGATTCCATGCTATCCCCCAGGAGGATAGTTTAGCAGAAGGCTGAGAACCAAAGAGAGAAAATGTGGGGATCAGATCTAAGATACAGGATTTGGAAGAATAAATCCACTGTACTCTGCTTTCAGGGTAGATAAACTTGGAATTGGGGGAGAGAAGAATCAAAAAGGGAGTAAAGAGTACTTGAATGACCATGGATACATGACAAGGGGCCCAGAGCCCTTTGCTAGCCACCAACTGCACCTGGAGTCAGGTGGGGACACAAGAGTTCCCAACGCGCCCTGTGTGGTCACTTAGCCGTGCCCCATCTAAATCCTCCCTCTCACCCTTGAAAAAGTTGAGGAATGCCAGGAAAGCTGAGGAAACTGAAAACAAAGAAGACTGGTGTCCCTAATACCCAAGCACTGTTCTTGATCTGTCCCAGCCCCTGGGCTTGTGGAGTAGGAATGTGCACTGGGTGTGTCAGTGCAGATAGACCCAAGATGGCTTCTGAAGTGTTCCCATAGCCCACGGAGAGGAAGAACTCGTGGTACATTGGAACGGAACCCTCAGCCACAATGGGGAAGAGGGTGCAGCAGTGTCCTAGGTGGGACTGATGGCTGGAAGCTACTCTGGGTGGACACCAACATGGATGATGACATCAAACGCAGGACTGGCATCATGTTAACCTCCCTGAAACTCAGATCTAAGGAAGCAGGGAGGCCTAACTGACTGAGGTCTAGGTCTCGCCATTTGGTGAATGGGTGCTTAAATAGAAACAGTGGAGAAGCTACCAGAGAGATCATGAAATATTAATAGCACTTTTCTTTAAACTTTTTTAAAAAGGTAATTGTAGATCACCGTGCAATTCTAAGATGTAATACAGAGATCCCTTGTACATTTTACCTATTTTCCCCCAAAGCAACATCTTGCAAAACTGTAATACAATATCACAAACTAGACATTGGCATTGATACGGTCAAGATACAGAATATATCCATAACCACAAGGACCCCTCATGTTAACCCTTTATAGTCATATCTGCTTGCTCCCACCCTCATTCCCTTCTTAAAAAGATTTCTGCAAACTTTTCACTTCAAGAATGTTACATAAGTTGCATCCTGTAGTATGTAACATTTTGGGATTAGCTTCTTTAACCATCATATTTCTTTGGAGATTCATTGAGATTTTTGTGTATATCAAAAGGTCATTTATTTTTTAAATTGCTGAGTAGTATTTCCATGGTAAGGAGGTACTATGGTTTGGTCAATTATTCATCCATTTAAGGACATCTGGGTTGTTTAAAGTTTTTGGCTATCATGAACAAAGCTGCTACAAACATTAGTGTACAGGTTTTTTGTGAAGATTGGTTTTAATTACTCTTGGAAACATGATCAGGGGTGTGACTGCTGAGTATAGTAATTGCAGGTTTAATATTTAAAGAAACTGCCAAACTGTCTTCCTGAGTAGCTGTGCCACGTTACATTCCCACCAGCAATGTAGTGATGAGTGATTCAGTTCTTCCACATCCTTGCCAGCATTTGGAGTTATCACTATTTTTAATTTTAGCCATTTTAACAGATGTGTAGTGATATTTCATTTTGGTTTTAATTTGCATTTCCCTAATGTCTAATAAAGCTGAACATTTTTTCATGTACTTATTTGACATCTGTATCTTCTTTTCCATGAAATTCTTGTTCAGGTCTTTGCCTCTTTACTAAATGAGTTGCTTTTTTTTTTTTAACATATAATATATTATTTGTTTCAGGGGTACAGGTCTGTGATTCATCAGTCTTACACAATTCACAGCACTCACCATAGCACATACCCTCCCCAATGTCCATCACCCAGCCACCCCATCTCTCCCACCCTTCTCCCCTCCAGCAACCCTCAGTTTGTTTCCTGAGATTAAGAGTCTCTTATGGTTTGTCTTCCACTCCGTTTCCATCTTGTTTCATTTTTCCCTCCCTTCCCCTATGATCCTCTGTCTTGTTTCTCAAATTTTTCATATCAGTGAGATCATATGATACTTATCTTTCTCTAGTTGACTTATTTCGCTTAGCATAATACCCTCGAGTTCCATTCACATTGTTGCAAATTCCAAGATTTCAATTTTTTGATGGCTGCATAATATTCCACTGTAGATATATACCACATCTTCTTTATCCATCCATCTGTTGATGGACATCTAGGCTCTTTCCATAGTTTGCCTATTGTGGACATTGCTGCTCTAAACATTGGGGTGAATGTGCCCCTTCAGATCACTACATTTGTATCTTTGGGGCAAATACCCAGTAGAGCAATTGCTGGGGCATGGGGTAGCTCTATTTCCAATTTCTTGAGGAACCTCCATACTGTTTCCCAGAGTGGCTGCACCAGCTTGGATTCCCACCAACAATGTAGGAGGGTTCCCCTTTCTCCACATCCTCTCCAACATTTGTCGTTTCCTGACGTTAATTTTAGCCGTTCTGACTGGTGTGAGGTGGTATCTCATTGAGGTTTTGATTTGTATTTCCCTGATGCCGAGTGATGTTGAGCACTTTTTCATGTGTAAATGGGTTGCTTTTTGGTTGTTGAGTTTTGAGAGCTTTTTAATATTAGTCCTTTGTCAGAGATGTGGTTCATGAATATTTCTCTCACTCTGTAGCTTATCTTTTTATTTTCTTAATAGGGCCTTTCACAGAAGAAAAGTTTTTAATTTTGATCAAGTCCAATTTATCAGCTTCTCCATTTATGGATTGTGCCTTTGGTGTTAAGTCTAAGAACTCTTTGTTTAGCCCTGTATCTTGAAATTTTCTCCTAATTCATTTTCTAAAAATTTTTTGTGAAAGATTTATTTATTTATTTTAGAGAGAAAGTGCATGCAGGCGTGCATGAGCAAGCAGGGGGAGGGGCAGAGGGAGAGAGAGAATCCTGAAGCAGACTCTCCACTAAGCGGGGAGCCCGATGCAGGGCTCAGTCCCAGGACCCTGAGATCATGACCTGAGCTGAAATCAAGAATCAGAGGCTTAACCAACTGAGCCACCCAGATGCCCTCTTTTTCTAAAATTTGTATAGTTTTAATTTTAATTTTACTTTTAAGTTTATGATTCATTTTGAGCTATATTTTGGTAAGGTGTGAGATTTATGTTGTTCTTTTTTTTTTTTTTGTCCAGCACCATTGTTAAAAAGTCTATCTCTCCTCCATTGAATTGCTTTTGCACCTTTGTCAAAGATCAGTTGACATAATTATGTGGATCTATTGCTGCTTTCTCTCTTCTGTCTGCCAATATCACATGGTCTTGATTACAGTCACTATATAATAGACCTTGAAGGTGAGTAGACTGCCTTTTCCCACACAATTCTTTTTTTTTTTTAAGATTTTATTTTTATGTAATCTCTACACCCAATGTGGGTCTTGAACTCACAACCCTGGGATCAAGAGTTGCATGTTTCCCTGACTGAGCCAGCCAGGCACCTCCCACATGATCTTCTTTTTCAAAATAGCTTTAGCAAGTTTAGTTCCTTTGCATTTCCATATAAACTTCAGAATAATCTTGCGTATAATTACAAAAAATATTTCTAGGATTTTCACAGGAATTGCATTGAATCTTTAAATCTGTATGTTAACTTAGGGAGAATTGACATATTTAATTTGGTGTCTTCCAACTCATGAACATTTAGTTAGATCTTCCTTGACTTCTCTCAACAGCATTATGTAGTTGTTAGCATACAAGTCTTGTGCGTGTTTTGTTGGGTTTCTACTTAAGTATTTAAATGTTTTGAGTGATTTTAATAGTATTGTATTTTAAATTTTGGTGTCCGTGTGTTTATTGCCAGTAAATAGATATATAATTGGTTTGTGCGTGTTTATTTTGTATCTCGCAACCCTGCTCAACTATTATTAATTCTAAGAGGTTTCTGTTTTGTTTTTGTGGATTCCTTTGGATTTTCTATGTAGACAATTCTGTCATTTACAAATATGGACAATCTGTATGCCTTTTATTTTTTTGTGTTTCCTTATTGCACTGACAAGAACTTCCAGCATTATATTGAATAAAGGTAGTAAAAGTGGACCTCTATGCCTTGTTCTCAATCAGGAATTTGTCTACCTTTCCTTTCAGTTTTATCAGTTTTTGTTGCACATATTTTGCCGTTCTGTTCTTTGGTGCATATACCTTTAAGATTTCTTGTTTTCTTGGTGGAGTGAGCCTGGATTGAGCCTGGATCTATTTGGCTCTACAGTCTGTGCTATAAATCCCTCTGCTTCCTCTTCTGTGGTTGCTTCTCTCGTTTTCTCTTCATTCCTATGTTCCCCTCCATTGTTCCCAGCATCTCTGGCTTCTGCCTTGGATTTCCTTTCTTGTTATAACTTCTTTGAGGACTTTCTTTGCCGATTCATTCTTCCCTCCTTAACCTTCTCACATGCTCCCCAGTCCCTTTCTTGCTCTCTGCTCCTAATCACTTATGTTCCTTTAAGGCTAAGCATATTGGTCACAGCACAGAAGCTGCTCTGTGGAGTGCCCCTGGTGACTGGGGGTGGAGGGGAAGGCAACAAATGGCACCACCTGCCCTTAGGTCAGTTTTCTCTCCTTTCCTTGGATTTTGGCCGAGACTAGGGAAGGCTTAAGATGAAAGACATCATCATCAGTGTTTATGTGATGACTCATCTGAGCTTTCCGGCAACGCTTAAACAGGCCAATCTTTCTGCAAAGTCACTTGGCTTTTGTCTATTGCCTTCAATTCATTAGACAAGGTCATTTTTGAAATGTAGACATATAAGCCACTCTGCCCTACTTAGTGCTATCAAAATGTTGATTTAAATGTTCCCTTGTCTATCATTCAAAATTAATGATGGTGAGACCTAATGGCTTTGTGATATCAGTAAGTTTCCCTACTCCTG